GAAAGAAAGAAAGAAAGAAAGAAAGAAAGAAAGAAAGAAAGAAAGAAAGAAAGAAAGAAAGAAAGAAAGAAAGAAAGAAAGAAAGAAAGAAAGAAGAAAGAAAGAAAGAAAGAAAGAAAGAAAGAAAGAAGAAAGAAAGAAAGAAAGAAAGAAAGAAAAGAAAGGAGAGTGAGAAAGAGAAAGAGAAAGAAAATACTATTTTAAATATGAAAAAACAAGAGTTAGAATTAAAAGAATTTTAGTTCTGAATTAAAGAGACTAGCAAAGGTTTTAGGAAAGTGTAAAAAGATGGCTACTTCCGCAGTGTAATAACTGCTTAGCAAAATGGAAAAATATGCAGCCTCAAAAGTGAAGGCAATATTTAAAAGTCTCTTAGAGATCCCAATTCTATGCCATTTCCCCTTCATTATGTTCTCCAGCCTTCTAAGTAATTTCTGCCCTTTTCTACTTTTTGTGGAGGCTTTTCTAGGTTAGAAAAAGAGAGAAGGCCAAGTCAGTGAAAGACCAAGAATTTAAGAAAAACACCAGATGGCAATAGGTTCATCAAGAACCAGGATAAAAAAGAAAAGGTGGGCTAAAGAAAACAGTGCCCGAGAACAAATGCAGGATCACACTTCCACATACCTAATTGCCCATCCGATTTTTGAGTATACTCTGCAACGCTCAGTCTTTGTCTCACTACAGTTGCTTCTTCTGGCCACTGTTCGGATCTAAGGGGGCAGCAGAACCAACTGTTCTTAAAGTCATCCTATCTATCAGCTGAGGGAGGGTGCACCAATTGCACATTCACTTCAGGTCACATGGAAGATGCAACTTGGGAATTGATGCCTATGCTGCCTGCTGGTGCGAGCAATGTAACTAAGTCCCAAGGTCTTGTACTGTGATCACAGTTTTGGCCTGATAATAAATATAATCTGTGCTTTGTTAGCATTCATTATGTATCAACTGGTGTACAGATTCAAAGACACACTATGAAAGGCAGTATTGTAGAGCAGCCATGGGCCAGTACCCATGTCCAAACTTCACTACTCGGTCAGTTGAGTGACCTTAAAAAGTTAGTGAACCCACTATGCTAGTGTAAAATGGAGATGGTCATTAACATCCACAGAAGAGGGTACCAGGCAGCCTACTAAGTGTCAGAGTTGGGATTTATACAGAAGTATACTCTTATTCTTAACTAAAATGCTACCATAAGCTGCATTAAGGCAACTCAACCCTGTAATCCTAGCTATTCACAGGGGCTAAGATCTATAGAATTATGGTACAAGGCCAGACTGGACAAAGAAATAAGTAAGGGTCCATCTCCAAAAGAACCAGCAAAAATAAAAAACCAGGTTAGAGACATGGTTTAACTGGCACAGTTCCAGCTGACAAACATGTGTGGGGTGGGGAGGAGAAAAGAGAAAAAGAAAGATCAGAAAAATTTTCAATTGATAAAATAAGTGACAACATTCTGTGTACCTAGTTTGTGGACTGAACATAGTATCATCATTGTTTACATTTAAATTTCCTGATATGCATATCCTAATCACTGCAACTGTACAGGGAAACAGCACTGCTGTATTCCAACAGCACTAGAGTAAATGAGTGGACCAAGAGCAAACGTTTTCTGTCTAAGTGTGGTAAAAGCAGCTGAGCACACTGTTTTATTTGCACTTACTCAAGGTCAGCTTACAAACCATTCTATTTGTAATTTTAAAACATCACTTATTTCCTTCTGAATAAGTTTCTTAATTGCCAAGTTTTTTTTCTTTTTATTATACAGTGATGCCTTAAATGTATTTCCTTAGGATCTAAATTTCTGCTTTCTGAATACAACTGCTTCTGTATTTTTCTATGCCTGTTTCAAACATCCTTTTTTTTTGTTCCAAGCAACTCTTATAGGATACGTGCCCCCCACAACATTTCCAACCAGCTTTGATACCACAAAGAGAAGGAGGACATGTGGGAGAAATGGAGGTGTAGATGACTTGGCCAATCAAGAAAGGGAGTTGCTCCTTGGTGGGCCCCATCAGGCAGCCCATCTGAATCACTGCCAATCACCCAGGGAAAACAAGGACCTGAGACCAAAGAAAGAGGCATGAATTGGAGGAAAGGCGAGAATTAAACTTTGGAAGGAAGGAAGATGGTAACATACAGAACATGGTAGTTGCTATCCTGAAGCAGGCACATAGATTTATGAGTCACATAAATTTGAGGGGGATCAAATTAAGTCACAGTGAACCTCACTAACAAAGGGCTCCAGGAGAACCGTTCTGCTGCCACGGAAATGCCTGATATCTTTACTAACTTGTGTGTGGCTTGGCTGGCAGGGAGTGTCAGAATGACACTTATGTGTGTTAGGCCAGTGAAGTTAATTTTTTCCCACTACTCTAAAAATTGAGTAAGGGAGAATGACAGGAACTGATCAGATTACTTCACTGCTACTTACTCATTGGAAATTATCTTAAGCATTAAATTCTATGGAGATGCATTTGACTGCATTTGCAGATCAAAGTTAAAAATTAATTTCCAACAAAAAAGTTGGAACTAGAATACAAAGCACTGAAGGTTTAAACATTTTTATTTTGTAACTTACCCTTAGGGAATAGTTTGTTAACATTTTTGCATGTTTGCAACATTTGCATGAAATTAAAATTCTTGCGCATATCTCACTCTGAAACTGTTCGATGTAAATGTAAAAGCTGATCATGGATACAAGTAATCTCTCAGAGTGTATCTGATGATAATTACAGTCATTGAGAATGAACCGGTTTCAAGCAGATGTTGAGGGTAGTGAAGGACAGGACTGAACAAGAAGTTTCCCTTTGTCCATTCTTGTTATCTACAGCCACACAATAGCCCTGCTTTCACTGTAACTGCACCCCTTCGCTCTCCTCGGTTGATATCAACTTGTCCTAGATAGCAAAGGAAGGAGTTACAGCCAAAGAACTAGTTAAGTTTTATTTTTAAAAAACAAGACATTAGCCAGGTGCCAGTGGCTCGTGCTTATAATCCTAGCTACTCAGGAGGCTGAGATCTGAGGATCACAGTTCAATGCGAGCCCAGGCAGGAAAGTCCATGAGACTCTTATCTCCAATAAACCACTAGAAAACCGGAAGTGGCGCTGTGGCTCAAGCAGTAGAGCGCTAGCTTTGAGCTGAAGAGCACAGGGACAGCGCCCAAGCCCAGAGTTCAAGCCCCACGACTGACACCCAAAAAAAAAACAAAAAACAAAACAAAACAAAAAACCCAAGACTTTGGGGGGTAAAGTCAAATACTTAGCTACCAACAGAAAGCAAAATACGTCGGAGTCCTTAGTACAATTTAAAATGCACCCCTCTTTCATAAACCCATCCAGATCATGA